ATGCTGAACATCGAAAAACTTGAACGATACAGAAGTATCATATGCATAACGATCTTGACCAATTTCTTCATAGTTTTCGTCATAAAAAGTCAATTCTCCTTTCGGAAGAATTGCATTGTCTGACAGAACCCAAGAAGAAACTCCACCAGCACCACCATTATTGTGATGACTGCAAAAACCACCATACCACCCACCACCTGCACTTCCTCTGTCTGTGAATCCATGTGGTGTTTTGATTCCATATGGATTCTTCGAACCATCTGTGCGAGAAGATTCTCCTTGCCCAAAACTGAATCCAAAAGTAGAATTTGCGGATAAATTTTCAATATACATACAGTCTATATTAAATCTTTGCGCTTCGAGACCTCCTGCACCTCCGGAGCCGTCATCAGACTGTTGAAGTGTGCCACCACCGTTGTCAGAACCGCCTCCACCACCGCTAACAATTACACGATGAAAAAGGTCGTTTTTCTCAAATTTGACAGCGGTTTGGCCACCTCCTGATCCTGATGCGTAACCAGGAGAACTTCCACCACCACCATAACCACCTCGATTCATGCAAGATAAACTAAAAGATTTATAACAATTAGAATTTCTTTGATCAAAATATCCCATTCCTCAAATTGTAGCAAAAGCTTTCATTGGATGAAAAAGAACTGAGTAGCCAGAAATATATGCACCTGCACCTCCAGTACTTGGTAATTGTTTGCAGACAGTATTTCCATTCACACGTTTAACTCTGTCTTGTGAAATACAGCTTCCATTGGGAAATCGATATGATGGAACATGCCCACTGCCGCTGCCACCTGATGCACCATAAAGTTCAAACTTATAGATTCCAGGCTGCATTTCAAGAACATAATATGTGCATTCATAATAGTTAACACATGGATATTCAAAAATGTAACTATTATTTTCATGTTTAACGTTAAGTTTTGCATCTTTTACACTTGAATTAAGAAGATATGACTTTATCATATATTAAAGTTGTCATATTCGTTCATGACAAATTAAAAAATGATTTACTATTCAATTGGCATCTTTGTCTAGTTAATATCCCTTTGTAAATACATTTGTTTTATCAAAATTTACTATTGTCATTCTAATAAATCCTAATTGAAAATATTAATCTTAAATCACGCCATTATGAAATTGTTTTAGATCTTATTAATACATTATAAAACTTTTCAAATTGTACTGAGTAATTCATGACTGGAGCAAATAATTTTCGATATGGAAAATGTTCTATCCAAGATACAAGTAAAGTTTATCAAAATTATTCTCCTATATGCCCACAATATCATGCAAATTCTTTTTATCCACGTAATAGCACTTATTATCCCACATATATCAAAATAAATTTAGATCCTGGAAAATATATATTTGAAGCATATGTTCTCAATGACAAGTCTATTAGTACTCTGATGGATATAGTGTATATGCAGAATCAACTATTACAATTTCAAGAAATGTTGATATCTTTCTATTTATCGGATCTACAGGCAAAAATAATCTTTGCGGTTATAAACTGAGACTGATACAGGAAAAAACTTTGATAAAGGAATATTATAGTCAAGTTTTCCTTCTAAAAGTGGTGGATGATATCTATATGGTGGTGAAACTAATCAACCAAGTGGGAGATCTGGATTTGTATATCCAACTGATCGATTGAAAACAGAAATTGGAAATATTAATTTATTATTAAAAATTTGAAAATTAGTTTATTTAGTTAATCAGCGATAAAATTGAATATGAAGGAATATGAGAAATGCTAAGAAGATGTTGACACTGGTAGTTGATTAAATATTGGGAGATGCAAAAATTTTTCATTTGGTTGAATTTTTTTATCTCATTTTCTTCTTCAAAATTATTTTCAATTTTATTTTTTGCTTCGCAAAGTCCTGTAGAAAGATGTGATAATTTGTTGTATAAATTGTTTATTGAGTATGTTATTGTTGCACTTGATGTTTGTCCATCATAATCACTATTAATGATTGTAGCTGAACTTGATGACCAAAAATAAAATGTTTGTGTACAATTATTATTTTTGATTGAACAAGATTCAAATGTAACTGTTGCTTGATATAAATTAAAACAATATTGACTAGCATTGTTTCTAATGATATTACATAAATAAAATTGATGTGGACCAGTATTAAAAATAAAAAAGCATCTAGAGTTTGCTTTGTTATCAATGAAAGATGATTGACTGTTGTTGTATTTCTGTTCTGAATAAATATCAAGTAAAACATCTTCATAACATTTGTTATTTGTTATGTTATTTCGTGAATAACTAAGATTTCCGTATCTTAAATGATTAATTGAATCTCCTTTATCTATTTCTCCGCAATCAAAGACTGTTGAATCTTCAAAAATGTTTTTGTTGTTTGTATTTGATGATGACATATATGAACATAAAAATACTCCTTCATATCCTGATTGTGATTGTATAGATTTTGTGGCACATGTTCGATAGATAACACAACTTCCTTTATAAGAAGAAACTGTTCGAGATGGAGTTTTTGTGCCATTGAATCCAGAAATAGAAATAAGAAGTTTTGTTTGATCATTGATGTCTATATAGACAACAACTTCTTTAAATTCATTGAATAAACATGTTGTAACATAATAATTTCCTTGTGTTGTTGGATTAAATTTTTCATTTTCAGTGTGTTTTTCAGTGATAACTGAATTTTCATAAAAAAGTGTCCAAGTGTCAAGACTTGGACCTGAATCGAAGAACTGTCTTAACAAATGTTTCATTTTCATACATTTCATAAAAATATTCGAAAGAATTAAGTCCGAAATTTCGTTTATCGCACAAAAAATAGTTTTCATTTAATAAGAGCATAATATTATTTAAGTATAAAGATTGTATAATTAAAATTACAATGCCATTATCTTTATCAAGGGATTAAATCCCTTGAATTTGACAATCAAAACATTTTATGTCACTTTTTTGGTATTTTTTGTAAAAATTTTTGTTGGCATTTTTTTTAAAGGAGTACAAGTATCGATGATTTCATTCATATTTTACACTTCAAACTCAATTAGAATACGATTGTAGTCATAATGATAATCTTCTCTGCGCAAGGGTCTCAAACGAATTCTAATAAAAGAGGAGAAGTTTTTAAATGCAAGTACAAAGCAGCATCTTCTAAACACACTTTAACAAACCATGAGAAATATATCGAGTTTAATTAGAAAGAATGAATTTAATTTTAATTTTTCATTGTTTAATAGTTTTTTTTAACAATGATGTATATCTTGATAAACTTTATTGCATTGATATTTTCTCAAAAACAATAGCCAATCATTTTTATTATTGTATATTTTGCTGAAAACAGGAAATCACAAACAGATCAAAAAGAACTGCTAAAATTAAAGATACCAAAACCATATATACCTAAAATTAAATTTAATCCTTTGATAGAGATAATGATATTCCAACATTAAGTGATGGTAAAATTTCAAAATTTAAACACATTTTCCTACGTAAAGTCTCCCTATCGTTTTTTCCCTCAATATTGAGGGAACCTCTATCAAAAATTTGAATAAGAGACTTTACAAAAGAAAAGGAGTTTACTCATCATTCATTTATATCTTGAATGTTGATTATTACCATTAAAATAGAATATTTATTATCATAATCAATAGATTAAAGATGATAAAAATATATGAAATACAAAAGAATGCATTAAAGAATAGTAAGGAATAAAATTACAAGAAATTTCAGTTAGTATCTAGTAATTGGGTACCAAGGGTCTACGCCCCTCGGACCCCAAATTACTAGAATTTACAAAAACCATTTGACATGTAAAATACATTTGACATTTACAAAAAATAAAAAAATAATTTTTTAAAAAATAAACTTAAAAATTAACGTTAAAATTTTTGACACTTCACAAAATAAAAAAAATTAAAAATAAACTTTAAAAAATTAACGTTAAAATTTTTTTATTTATTTTTTTTATCATAGATTTTAACACCCAGAGTAAAAAAATAATTTTTTAAAAATAAATTAACTCAAAATTTTTTTAATTTCTGTATATACTAAATTTTTCATAAATGATAAAATTAATTTTAGGGTATATCTAACCCGATATCTAACCTCATTTCTAACCTTGTGAATTTTCTTATAAAGTTGCGATAGTTGAATTCAGTAACTGAGCCTCAAGGAAGAAAACATCCTTTCCGTCTTCGGGTAACACAACGGAGCATTTATGATCATGTGTAGAATACATATCAATCCAAAACTCTCTATTATTTCCTGATAACTTATAATATTTAATATTTGTTAATGGCGTCGATCTAGTATGACCGATAAATTCATTTTCAACCCCTTTAGCGATATTTGAATATAAAATGACTTGTTTTCTGTCCCATACATTATATGTTATTATTGGTAATAATACTGTTCGTTCTTCTCCGGGTTTATAATTAAATACATTCATGAAGTCTTCATTATACTGAGAAATTTTAAAACCTATCCTAAAATCACTTTGTCTCTTTTCTGCTATTTCATTAAACGGTGAGTATATAACAAATGTGCATGTATGTGAATCATCTATTTGTTCAATAAATTCATAATGAAAGTCTATAATTTGTGGTTGAATTACTTCTTCTTTTAATTTATCAAGATACACATTTAATCCTAAAGCGGTTTTGTTAAATTTCTTTTCGAAAATTTCGTTAAAATCACTCATGCATTCATATAATGTTGTGTCGTCTTTGAAATATTTATATATGTGAATAGTTTGCTTAAATTCTTGGATTTCGTTTATAACAACAACTTCGAGCTCAAATTCAACCTTTCTAAATCCTCGTGTTATATACATACTTGATAAACCAATATATTTTTCGTTTATATTAACAGACCAGTCAATAGGTAATTTAAATGTGATTCTATTTCCATTTATTTTAACATTTTCGTCTTCAGAACTGAAAGCGACTGTTAAAGGTACTTGTCTATACATTTATTACAAACAAAAATATATCATTTATTCTTTCTTCTCAATGGATTCAGCCTTTTCCTTTTCCGCCTTTTCTTTAGCCTCACGTTCTCTTTTTGCTTTCATTCGCGGGTTCTTCTCTCTTCCTGCAGCTAATGCGGCTAACTGCTTTTCACTTAATTTCCTTTTTGGTTTTTCTGGTTTTTCTTCAGCGCTCTGCGCCAAGACCGAAGGTCCTGTTTTTGATGTCTTTAGTTCTTTTAATATCTGCTCACGAATTTCTTTTTTGATGGCTTCAATATCTAATCCCTGACTCATTTGATTACCGATAAAAAATTCAAAATTTAAAAATTTTATTTGAATTAAATATGAGCCTATCAAAATCTGAGAGACAATCGATTATATTAAATGATGCAAGAGGAATTCAGCATCCATTATATTATGTATCAACAAGTAAAGATGGAAAAATTTATGTAAGAAAAAGACGAGTTCCATTAACGAATTCGGAAACTGATAAAATTGATATTAAACCTCCTCCATCTGAAACAAAAGCGGAAGACAGCGAGGCTGTCAGGGCAAAGCCCACGATAAAGGAAACGGAACCTAAACCAGAACCTAAACCCGATGTACTTTCGATAACGAATCAAGAATTAATAGCTAAATTTGTAAATTTCATTGAAAAGCAAACAGAATCAAAAAATCCAGACCCACCAGTAAAAAACAGGAAACCAAAATTAATGAAGAGTTTGTTAAAAACGTAAAACATGAAATTATTGAACAAAAGAAACAAATTCCTCAACTAAGAAGAAGAGTTAGAATATTAAACTAAATAAATATTTTTATCTAACATAAAACATGCAAAACGAACAGCTTAACGAATTTACACCAGCTGAACATATCCATCAAATTCGTTCATATTTTGATGTAATCGATAATGCAATTAATATTGGTGATACTAATAGAAGATATATCGATGCTAAAATTCCATCACAACCAGGAAGCGCAAAGGATCATAACTGGGTCACATTCAATTTATCTCCGCCAGGTGAAAATATGCTAGACCTTTATAACACATTCCTTACAACTACCTATAAAAGTAAATATATCATTGATAATGCTATTACTGGCTCATCAATTCCAAATACTAATTCTCCAGGTTTCTTTGGCGTTTTTGATGAATCAATTTACACCATTAACGCTTATCAGTTATTAGCAAATGGAAGAGTTATTTATAGTCAGGATAACGCAAGAGAAGAAGCATATATCATTTCTAATTCACAGACTACAGAACAAATAAAGAAAGTTGATGTTTTCTCAAAAACGAGACATAAAGATGTATGGAAACGTTCTGGAACAGTTTGAACAGGTCAAATTATCTCAGGACCTTTAGCTGCAGGAGCTGAAATTAATTTTGACATTAAAATAAAGATTTCATGTCGTAAATTCCTTATTCTAGAAGTTATTAGATTTATTCCTGCTTTTGCAGGCAACATTCAGTTAAAGGTTAAATTTAGTAGCGATGCATTCCAGGTAACAGCACTGCCGGTAGAAGATATTTTAGCTCATAATCCTTCTTTAATCAGTCAGGTAAAAGATAATTATGACCCACCAACTAATAAATTTGTTCCATGGAATGAACCATTCAATATGATAACAGCAGTTTCTAAATCAAATGGTGAAATTACTGTTTCAACAGTTGAACAAAGATTAACGAAGAAATCAGCTGAATTCATTGATTGCTTCATTCATCCTAAAGCATTTTCACTCGATCCAAATATTTACACTGAATTAGTCGATCATTATACATCACAAGCTTTATGTTTTCCAATTAAAGTAATGGACTGGATTCCTATGGACGGTTCGTTCAGTAAAGGTTCACCATCAGCAACGTTCACAGCAGCTTATACACCAATTAACGTTAAAAGCATTTGGGCTTTATTTAGGAAGAATGATAATTATATCGTGAATTTCGAAAATACTCAATTTGAAACCCTTCAATTATCAATGGGCGCTTATGGAAGTATGCCAGCTGAACCGAAAGCTCTTGGTCCTGTGTTCTATGAAATGGTTGCTAATGCATGCAATACAAATAACGATATGATAGGATTTAATGAAGATGTGATGAGGTCGTTAATTGATGATGGAAGCGTTAAACATTTATATGAATCATACGATAACACACATTTCCTCTGTGGATTCCCTACGGAAACTGATTTCACATTTCAACAGGGTCAAACATCAACGGCACCAATTACTTATAAATTAGGTGTTAAAGCTGATGATACAAATATAAGCGAAAAATACACTGTCAAACCTTTATTAGGATTTCTTAGAAATGCTTGTTTCGCTATTCAAGTCAGACCAGCTGGCATTCCTGCTGTTAGAATTGATGATTATAATTTAGCTGCTGATGGAGGTGAAGAGTAAAAAAAATAAATGTAGTTAATTTTTAATTTTCTGATTTTTTTATTTTTATAAAAAGATGGAAAATAGCTGGGAAACATTAGTAGCTGATGAAGATTATGAAATAAACACTGAATATCCGTATCAAATAAGAAGGAAGAAAAACGGAAAGACTGTCAGTGAGTATGAAGAAAAGAATGTATATATAAGATTAACCCTTAACGGTAAAAAATATCTTAAACATAGATTAATAGCTATTCAGTGGATTGATAATCCTGATAGTTTTGGGGAAGTTGACCATTACGATAAAGTTAGAAATAATAATATGATTGATAATCTACATTGGTGTTCAAGTTCTACAAATAATAGAAATAGAAGTAAAGCAAATGGAGTAGAATATAATTTCGTTGATGAAATCAGTGAAAATTCAATTACTGTTTCACATTATGGAAATCATGAATTTGAGGATTTATTTTACGACATCGATGCAGATTTGTTTTATTATTATAACGGTCGTCAGTATAAAGAACTATACATTAATGAAAACATAAATGGTTCATTATATGTTAATGTTTATGATGTTAATGGAAAAAGAACATGCATTACGTATAGTAAATTCAAACGCTTACATAATTTAATATGATAAAAATAAATCTAGTTGATTTTTAATTTTTTGAATTTTTTATTTTTATAAAAAGATGAGCTGGCAAACACTCGAACATGATAGCGAATATGAAATTTTCACTGAATTTCCTTATACTATAAGACGAATATCTAATAAAAGAGTTGTAAGTGAATTTGACGAGGGGGATGGTTATATTTGTGTTAATCTTAACAAACATAAACTATTTAAACATAGAATAGTTGCTGAAACTTTCATTCCTAATCCTGATGGGCTTCGTGAAGTCGATCATATAAATAGAGATAGAGGAGATTATCACATTTCAAATTTACGATGGACTTCGAGAAAAGAAAACATGAGAAATATATCTGGTTCTAATGGTTATTGGTTTGATATTATTGATTCACTTCCTGAAGACGCGGTTGAAATCATTCAATATTCAAAATTTACTCTCGAAAATTACTTTTATGTCCCGAGTGAAGATTCATTTTATTATTTCATGGGAACTCAATATAGAAAATGTAATGTTTTGCGTCAGTACAAACAAGATTATATAAACATTACTGATGTAGAAGGAAGAAGAACAAAATTATCTATTGCAAAATTTAAGAAAGATAATGGTTATGCATAAATGACAAAAATAATGAAGTCATTTATTTTTATCATTCATGACTTCAAAACTTTAATTTCCTTATGAAAGTATTTTTGTTTTGGATTGAAAAGTTAAACTTCTCTTCAAATGAAGGTGTGGATGATTTACATAAATCAAATGCAATTTCCTGACCGTCATGAAGGACTTCATATAGTTTCATAACTGAAAACTCACTATCTTTATCATAAGTTCCAGCAGGTATATGTAAGTTCTTATCTTCATCGTAATAGCATTGAACTGCTTCAGGGAACATTTCATTAGCTGTAATTGATATTACATCACCACGAACTCCTTTACAACGACAGTGAAAAGCTACTTCACCGATGTCATTTATTAATAAATCTACATATGTTTTCTTTCCACAAAATATCGACTTATAAGCAAGCGATTGATGGTCCTTAGTAATTTCAGCAAAGTCGGAATGAAATTGACCAAGATTTTTACCAATCAAAACTCTTCCATCATAGCGTTTCTCATACTCTTGAGCTAAAAGAGGGATATCGCTGTTATAGAGATGCATTGAATCCGTATCGGAATAAAAGATACTCAACCACATATCCTCAGCAGTGCAAAATACTTCATTCATGATACGTTTCGACATAGATAAGATATTAACACCTAAGGGGCAAAAGTTAAAGTGTCTGCAAATGCTTTTAGTTAGTTTGAAAATAGTTTTATCCGAACCATCTAAACCTTCGAACTTAATAATATGATTATAATTTCTGATGGCATACCTAACAGCATCTTTATCATCAATGATTTTAATTTTCGACTCTATCGGGGACAAAATAGTTTTTCCATAAATACTGTTCAAAATTAATTTAATATTTTCTTGTAGCGGCTTTTCTTCCTTCTTATACTTTAATCTCAATTCAAACAATTTCTTTACTTCGCAACTGATGCCCTGATATTTTATTAAATCTTGTAAAGTGATGTGGTCCACATACATTAAACAGCATGTGTTTGAACTTCTTGGAACAGTGGCTTTGTCCTTGGTGCTTTTCGCCTTTAGCTCCGGGTTTAATTCTGGATCGACTGTTATAAGTGGAAAATGTCTTTTAATCTTGATATCAGTTATTTTTATTAAAACAAAGAATCCGGAAATGAATTTATCACCTTCAGGCTCGCCCTGGTCATCTTCGAATAAATGTTTTAACAAATATTCACGTTTAACATTTCTGGCTTCAAAACTTTCGGAATTCCTTCTAAAGTATAAAGTCTCGCGATAGCGGATGGATATAGTGAGACAGCATCGAAGTCAGCAATGAGTTTCTTTTGCTCTTTTGTTTCTTATTATCAGCTAACATACATCTTCCACCTTGAATACAGCGTGAAATAAACTCACGGGGTTTATTTGATAGGTCATATAAATTTCCATTAGGGAAGTATACTCTGTTCTCAAATAATTTATTAGCAATTGAACAAATGCTAACGTAATCATAAACGTTTAAATCAAATTCTTTTAATATATCATTTCTGAACTTAACGAAACCTTCTCTTATAATCCTTACGTCCTGTTTACAGTAAAATGAGCTCTATTTTTCTAAATCGAAATGGTTTTCATCTATTCTGCAGTTTTCGATTAAATCTATGTTTTTCATGAACGTTTCAACATCCTGGACAAACTTACATGCTTCAGAAATGACACCAGTTCTGTTATCATTAACTAATAAAGAACTTGAATAATATTGATACGGAAATACTTCCTTGGGTCCAGTTTGTAAATGAAACATTTCAGGAAATAGGTTAAGCTTCTTATTTATAACAGTGTATGAATCTTTTATAATGATTGCTTTACCTTTATATATTCCCGTTATCTGCATTGTTCTAGAACCCTTAATAATTGGTGTACCACTGATTTCTGTTAAATGTCTTAAAATGAAATTGATATCATAACTGAGATTATGAAAATATACTAAACTCTTATCTGGAATTCTTTCTAAAAATTCTGTTGCACAATTTTGACCCCAAATGCTTTCGCTAATCTTTCCATCTTCACTGTCATAACAAATGTTAAAGGCTTTATGAACTCCATCAGTGCTACATTCAAAGTCAGCGAAGAAAATGTGTTCAGGAATGAATTTTTGTTTTGATTTATCATTATCTTTACTTTCGGACTTTTTCTTTAACTGAACACAGTAGTTGGGAGTATAATTTAAATCTTTAAACGGTGCAAGTTTTTGTTTATATAAATCTGTTGTATAAGTGAAAAGTTCTCCATAAGATAAAGGTTCAAAGTAATTGCACTCTCTTAATGTTTTCAAAATATCCCATAAAGGAGTTGTTCGTGAAGAATCAATTATAAATCTATTTTCTCTTTTCTTATATATTTTCATTTGACGCTCGATATTCCAGCCGCCTAATGATTTGAGAATTTCGTTATAATTTTTGATAAAATATGTTGTCATCGGTAATCTTTCATTTAACATGTAATGGTCTTCAACAA